ACATGGGGTGTAGTGCTATTCATCTAGTGTCATTAGACGTATTGTGCCAATGATATATCGGCAGTACCAATAGAATGGTAAACAGCGTTTGATAGGCCCCAACAAGGGTAAAAGCACCAACACAACCGTTGCATGATTAGTAGATAAAAAATAAAACAGGTTGCTTGTTTTCATTTCGCAGCTTTTATATTAAACGGCGTTTTTTGAAACCTGATAACTCTGTGATTCTTTAACATGAATGGTGGGGGGAGTGGGTGGTGTTTGGGGCGGGGGGGCTGAATACGCTTATAGAGCTAGATGTTATATTTATAGTGTAATAAAGTGGGAGACGAATCTCATGTTGTGAGTTGAGAACGTACGGCCTGACTTGGGCATAATTTTCTCGGGCTTGCGACTGGTCAGGAATGTTTCGTAAACCTGTAGTCAGCTCCTTCTTTTTATGTTTAGACTCTATAGGTTGAATAGTACGGATTTTGCTTGGATTAGAAACACACACACATGTGTCCCCTGGATACCATACGGATATGTTTTAAATTCGCTGGACAGGAAACAATCACATATATGCCCCAAGGCCGGACACATACGAACATATGTGTTAGTTTGGCGCCAACTGGACATCAAACAGACGTGTGGATTCTACTTAGCTGGTGTTTTGTAATTGGTATTAAGATCTCACCACTATTTCTCTCAAGCTTGTTATCTTCAGTTTTTAAAATCACGGTTTCGTTTTCACATCTTACGATATTTTTGTGTGTATGTGACTTTAGCAAGTTATTCGTCAACCTGAGTTGGAAAGTTGGCCGAGTGAACTGTTTACACGTGTGTACACTCTAGCACACATGTTTACACTTAATTACACAGCACATGTGGTGTAGCCGTGTGAATGTGTTGAGAATCACCTGTGTTTTTACTCCAACTTCTCAGATGTCGTTTCTCTTTCATGCCGTGTTTTCTTTGATCTAACCCCCCCCCCCCCCACCTCCCTTCGCGCACAGTAGAACTTGTAATAAAATGCTTGAATTTTTTTCAAAGCTAGAACTAGATATTTGGTTTGAAACATCTTGGTTATGAGCTAGGTTGCATTAATGGGTAGACTAGAAGTACTGGAGAATTTAATATATCTAATAATCGTAGCTTTTATTGTCGTTTTATTTATATAACTCTGCGGCAAGTATTGTTGTACCATTGATTTATATCTGAACCAGCCATGCATAGTATGCAAGCTGGATATTTTTTATAGGTTTTAAGTTTACAATCAATATATATATATATATATATATATATATATATATATATATATATATATATATATATATATATATATATATATATATATATATATAATGCATGAAAAATGTATAATTGTACATCCAATGTGTCTACGTCCATGCATCAACAAAATGCTTGCATCTTATAATATACTAGACTAGATACTAGAGAGATGTTTAATTATAAGACAACTAACAAATACTAGATGAAAAATACTTGCTAATGTTTTATGAAGTTAACATATCTATCAATAAAAGAATACACTAAATTAGCCCTACCCTTAATGTAATTTTAAGGTAGGAGGGGTAGTGTCAGGGTTAGTTTAGGATGAGGGTTTGGGTTCGGGAGGTTCATGTGTAGGGTTCGGCCAGTATCGGTGCGTACAAATGCATCAATGCTTTCTCTCAAGCACTTTAAGGGCTGTTTTCTTTTGTTTTCCTAAGCTTGAGTGCTTGTATTTTTGTGCGCGCTAAGCAAGAGTTATGCTTCACTCGGTATTTTGAGTAGGCTAATTTTGATCTTGTTAGAGCTAAGCAAGAGTTATGCTTCACTCGGTATTTTGAGAAGGCTAATTTTTTATCTTGTTAGAGTCATTGAAATAACGCATAGGTCTCATATTGCGAAATTGTCTAAAGAAAATACTTTTATTATAAAATACCTAGAAAAAGTATGAAATGCATCTCCACAAGATGGCGTGTTTCACACTTTGCCCGTACCGTACCATGCACAGCTGATCTGATCATACAGCTAACAGCCTCTAACCATTTATTAATATTCTGACCAAATTCTTTACCAGCCGTCCCGAATTTTATCGCGTCCATATTGGAAGATGACTTCAATCAAAATCTCTTATCGTTTTATCGATAGCAAATATTAGATCTTTACTCAATTGGATATTTGGTGATTGTTTTTTTCTCCCAATAAGCAATCTGCTAGCGCGGAACCGATTCATCCAATATAGTGGTGTATTTGTGAACGAATTTCTCCAAGCAGAACGAAAGTAGGCCTACACGATTGTATTTGTATTTAGCTCCATAATATTTTTGCTTTGTTTTTACTTTGAAGCCTATAATGATGTATTATTCTGTTCACATTTCACCACATCATTATGTCCTCTATAATTCTAATTGTACTACATCATGTCAGATTTGTGTTTAAATTAAATGCCATCGTATGTCATGTTCTTCTCAAATTACATATCATGATGGAATATTCTGTTCAAATAACACCACATCATGATGTTGCTCGCTTTCAATACTCCTGTTTATGATCAGATACTGATCCTGTATTTTTATTTTATAACCGTTGAATACTCACCACTCGCTATTTGTGTTTCTTTGCCCATCTTTAGTCTTTAGTCTAGCCTTTTCTTGCTCGGTAACTACAACCACAACACCGTCTTAGAAAAGTTTGTCGCCATCAAAATAACTAAACATCTACGTTGGCTTACTGTGAATAATAGAAAGTTAAATCCGAAACAAAAAAGAATTTGTCCTGGACATTCGCTCCATCATCGGTCAGATTACAATCGATAAAACTAAAGCTTGACCAGGCGCCGATGATGAAGTGTATGTGTTGTGGAATTCCTCAGAGATCTTTTTGTCACAGAGAAAAATACTTCCTCCATTTTATTTTGTGGTGTTGGGTGAATGTCTGCTACAAGAACATGATCTGTAGGCTGGACGGATAACGGTGGACGGATGACCTAATGCTGGACGGATGACCTACCGTTGGAAGAATGACCTAACGCTGGACGGATGGCTTATCTTTGCAAGAAAGACCTCATGTACGGTTGACCTAACGTTGGACGGATGACCTAACGCTGGACGGATGACCTAACGTTGGAAGAATGACCTAAAATTGGACGGATGACTAACTTTGGAAGAATGACCTCATGTACGGGTGACGTAACGTTGGACGGATGACCTAACGCTGGACGGATGACCTAACGCTGGACGGATGACCTAACGTTGGACGGATGACGTAACGTTGGACGGATGACCTAATGCTGGGCGGATGACGTAACGTTAGACTGATGACCTAACTCTGGACGGATGACCTAACTCTGGGCGGATGACGTAACGTTGGAAGAATTACCTCATGTACGGATGACCCGACGCTAGACTGAAACTTACTTATGTGAACATAAAGAGACGAGACTAGTGCATCTTAGGGCAAAAGATAACAGAACTTAGAACATTAGGACACAAGCTAACACTACGTTGGACACTAGTACACGAGATTACACGAGATTACATATCGATATACAACATAAATAAAAAAAAACACAAATTTCAGAAAACAATCGAGACATAAACACGGATTGCCCCCATCTTCTTTGATCTATTTATATTTCAAAATGGCGTCTTGTTAGGGAATGACGTTTAGTGCCCGATCGTTACAAGCTCGCGCGGTAGGTGATGTATGACACATTCAAGGTCGATTGGGACCTAACTTTCGTGGGAAGGGGGTTTCGTTTGTTGTCAGTTATGTGCTTGTAACATGGGGGTGGGGGGTGTAATTGTTAGCCGTCATTTATAGGCTTGCATCAATGGGAGGAGTAGTGTCTGTTTTATTTTTTTCTGGTAATTTATGTACTACCAGCGTGCCCGTCCCGCGCGTTGCCGCGGTCTCAGAAGAAAGTCTGACGCAATATTTTAAGAGTTGTTGGATGCTCTTTAAAACGAACGTACGCGCCAAAGTGCACACAGGATATAACCCGGGGCGCCAAATCGTATCCTACGGGGGGGGGGGGGGAGCGGACGCGCCTGATTTGATTTAGTGAGTGACTATAATACCCCATCTTACCCATAGTCTATCGCACTGTTCAAAACAAACGCAGTCGACTTAGCGCTCCCGGGATAGCCCGGGGCGCCAAATCGACCACTGTAGGGGCGCTGGAAACCTTTTGCAGAAACCTTCTCGGGAGCATTCTCATCAACCCTCTAAAGTTTCATGGCACTCGGGGGAACGTATATAGAGAAAAATTGCACCGCCCCTGTGATATTCTCATCAACCCCCTAAATGTCAAACAAACAAACATACTTACATTTTTACATATTATATAAATCGACATGTGTAAGGGAGGCTTGGTGTTTGTGGTCATTTATATGCTTATAAACATTTTTGATGCTCATTGTTTGCGATCTTGCATATGCTTTAAATTGGAGAGGGGTGTCCTTTGTTCGTAGTAATTTATACACTTGGCCATTTTTTGCGAGTTTGTAGCTCTTAAGTTTCATGTCAGTCAGCGACTGTTTTGTCTGTGTACGCTGTTTGAAGTGTTTGTTTTACCGGTTTTGATTTCTCTCTCTTCTCGCTACCAAATGTTAAGTTTTTTTGTCTGGTGGTTGTAGAGTTAAACGTTAATTTTTTTTTATTTTAAAACTAAACTGGTACTTTTCTCTTCAAAAAACTTCTACGGCTTTTCAATTTTATTCTATTATTTATTCCCCGATTGTGTCCCCTTGAGTAATCTTGCATGAGTGATATCCCTTGTTTTCTTGTGATGGCTTGGGTGAGCATGTTTCTCCCATTTAGTTGATGAATTTTTTTTTTCGCTTTTGTTTTCACTTTGTTTAGATTTTTATTTTTAGGGATACCAAAATGTTAAATAACCCTATAAAAAATATATTTTGGGCTTCAAGATCTGAGTCGGCGTATATCTAGAATTTGAAAACAGTTCAAATAAATTAAATGTAGTTGTTTTGTGTGTATATTTGCAGATTACCTTTAACCTCAGATGCCATCTTGAATAGATAAAGCCCATTTGTTTACTGGCTAAACAGCAAGACGACTTTTTGTACACTGGGAACCACCCGGATGTTTTGATGTGACGAGACTTCGTATTTTGATTGCTGCGGCACACGATTACTTCCCTTGGTGAACATGAACTCTGATCAAGTGAGCGGAAAAACCCGAGTGAGCGGAAACACCCGAATACACCGAGACAGCGGAAATACCCGAGTAAGCAGAAATACCCGAGTGAACGAAAACACCCGAATACACCGAGTGAGCGGAAATACCCGAGTGAGCGAAGAGAGCTGACACCGCAGCAATGGGCGCTGGTGAGAAATTTATTGGGTATACATTTCGCCCTGATGACGCGTCGCTGCCCAGCTCGTTAAGATATGGGTCAGTGTCCCACACGGCCTTGAACTTGTTCAGTCTGAGGAAGTCCATGCCGAACGGATTAATCAGGAATGGAAGAAGCTTGCAGACGTGCCTGTGTCACATGACCAGCATTGGTTACCTCAGAGTTTTATTCTGGTCTTCACTGGTAAGTTGTTTTTTTTTTTGTTAAGAGTGGTCATCCATAAATGACGTCACACTCCTTGGTGGGAGGGGAGATCAGGATGTATAATGTGGGGGGGGGGGGAACGTTAGAAAGACAGATAATTTGATCTAGCGCCCAAATGACAAATACGTTAAATTATTTAAAAAATTAAGTTAGGGGGGGGGGGGTGGTGTCTTTTTGAAGGGCGGGTCGGCTAAAACTGCCTGTGGTCTTTCGTAGAAGTATAGTTTCTAAACTCTATTTTCGTAGAGCTAGGCTAGACTTTGTTTCCGACAACATTATATTGTAGTACAAAAGTAGCCCCCTATTTAACCCTTCACTGACTAGAAGAGCGTGACTGCGCCATTTCTCAGTAACTACACGCGCATACGTAAATAATGGTCCGCATTTCGAATCACGTGTATTCTCAATGTGTAGTTCATTGACTGTGGCGTAGCTAGGGGTCGGATCTACCTTAATCTACATTTTTAATGTATGGGAGGACGTATCTCAAAACGTGGAACCTGCCGAAACATATATATCTACGTTGTTTCCGTATGAAACTGATACAGAAAATTGAGTTTGCTGATATTTTATTTCAGCAGCATCACCACATACGGTTACCTATATCCAGTGGCGTCGCGAGGCGGGGGCGGGGGTGCGGATCGCACCGGGTGACAACAGTAGCGTAGCGAGGGGGGGGGCGGGGGGGGGACATATGTCCTCGGGCGCCGAGCTTAGGGGGCGCCAAAATGGGTTGGAAAAATAAATTGAAAGGTTGAGGGGGGGGTGCAAATCAAAATCTCGAGAGGGGGGGGTGCAAATCGGAAGTTTGAGGGGGGGGGGTGCAAATCGAAATCTCGAGGGGGGGTGCAAATCGGAAGTTTGAGGGGGGGGGTGCATATCGAAATCTCGAGGGGGGGTGCAAATCGGAAGTTTGAGGGGGGGGGGTGCAAATCGAAATCTCGAGGGGGGGGGTGCCAATCGAAAAGTTTGTCCCCGGGCGCCGGGAAGGGTCGCTACGCCTCTGGGTGACAACATTTAGGGGGGGGGGGGTGACACCAAGACAAAAAAAAAATTGCAACATATATAGCATAAATGTTTTTGCCAGTTCAGTGAATGGTTAGAGTTAAAAAGTATTTTAAGTACATAATGACGATCCCTACATTGGGGGGGGGAGGGTGACCCCATGACGTAACCATGCAAACTATAGAGAAACCAATGCTACACCCAGCTTTATTAAAAACCGACTTTAGATAAACATCATTAAATGTGAACACTTTAAAGATTTTACCGGGGTGGGGGGGGGGGGGCACACCAACTGCAAATTTTATAGATAAAAAAAGGGAGGGTGTGCGACACCAAAAGGTGTTGCACTGGGTGACACCCGACCTAGCGACGCCACTGCCTATATCTACACCAAACTTCCACACCAACCCTAGACTTTCCATTGTCAACACTGGGCGTCCGTACCCCAAACGATGAAATGTGCTACGCAATAGGGGAAAAAAATCCAAATATTCAACACGTTATATACACATCAATTGTTTTAATAACAAATTTTCGTGTATACACACCAATTGTTTTAATAACAAAACTCATGTATACACACCAATTGTTGTAATAACAAAATCTCGTGCATACAACGAAATCTCGTGTACACTGATGTAAGGCTATGGTCGGAGGGCGCTAATTATGGTTGAACAATGAGTCGACTTGTGTGGGGGATTATAAAACAAAACCCCATGTGTGGTATTAGTGTGACCCAAGCTTGGTTTTGGAGATTAGCGACTTGACATGTAACCCAAGTCGTGGACAGACCAGTCAGTTTAGGTTAACTCATCTATGACATTGTGTCTGTAGGTGTGGACTGTTTTAAGCGTATGTTCAAGTTATTCCTTATGTAAATATCGTAGATTTTCAGTTCATTTATTCCTTTCATATTATAGTATTTTTTGCTTAGATCTCTGTAGAAATATCGGAATTTTACTTGATTATATAAATATAAATTTCGTATTTGAGTTTGGGATATTTTCTTTTTCAACTGTTGGTGTGTGTGTGTGTGTATATATATATACATACATATATATATGTCTGTATGTGTGTATATATATGTGTGTGTATATATATGTGTATATATATATATATATGTGTGTGTGTGTAGGCGTTTTAGACATAATATAAATCGACCGGTGTTTTAGACGTAGACAGACAGGTATAAGATCAAGTGGTTACTTAAGTTTTAACACAATCGGTAGGGTCTTCTATATTTCTTTCCAAACCGTTCTTCAATCTTTCCACTTACTGACTAAAAAAACAGATTGCTTCAACTCAACCGGCGCGCGGTGTCGTTTACTTTCCCTTATTAAAATCAAACTACACCAGCCAATCCACGATCTCTTTAGAAACTTTCCACGTCAAAAAACAAGTTAATAAAAAGTCTAGTGACAATTTAAGCGCAATTTCCTTATGTTATCCATAACAATTTTTAATTTTTTGTGACCGAACGAAAGGATGTTTTTTTGCGCTAAAAACCTACACGATGCTCAGTTTAAATTAAAAATATCATCCTAGGCCTACACGATGCTCAGTTTAAAAATTCTTAATTAATTTTTTGTGACCGAACGAAAGGATATTTTTGAAAACATTCTTCGCCAATATTGTTCTAAATTATGGCAGGAATCGATTGGTAAATGTTTCAAGTCGCTAAGTGGTCTGGTTGCCGAGATATGGACCAAAAACTGCATTTGTTCGAGTTTTTTTTTTTTGCTTTTCCGGGAAATCCAGGAAGGAATTCCGGGAATTCTTTTCGCCCACAATCATCCTTGGAACTTGCTTAACATATTTCCTTTTGGAACTAGTCCTCGATATTGCTTCGTTGAGGAGGAGATACGACTTAAAGCTGCGGACACACATCCATACATCCATCCAGAAATAACGAATTAATAATCGCAATTGTCCGTATGGAAATTACGCTAAAAATGTAAACATTCGTTGTGAACACCAGCTCATCTGATAGATCGAGTGATGGCTGCTTCTTAATGTTATCTCCCCTTTTCGTATAAATTTAAAAAAAAAATACAATTAATTATCTACTGAAAATATGATATTCTTGCATGGTTATCTGAAGAGAATTTATTTTGTAAGGTTTGAAAGACATCTGAATTACAAATGTGGCTATATTGATTGACAAGATTAGATCACAAACCCACAGACACACAGACACACGGATAAACGGACATTAACACCCCAGTACAATAACCAAATGCAGATTTCCTATATTAGACGTACCTTCTTGTTGTAGAGGAAAATCTACACGATGGAACGTCCCAAGCTATACAGTCTGGTTGCTATGGTGATCCAGTCTTCCCTTTTGGCCTTAACCATGAGGTACTCGAGAACTGAGCAGATCGATGGTGTCAGGTAGGACTTTCTTGTTTCATTAGGTCGCTGATGTTTACACAACATTCGTACAAATCTAACATCTTTATAAAACTTTTAAGATCATCATTTGTACATTTTCTTTTTTTTTTCTCGCCTCAGACATGTAATTTACAGCGTCAGATTTTTTTTTCCTTGTTTAAAAAGTTTTTATTTGATCATAATTTGAAGTGGAAAGGGTGTAAGTTTTTATGTATATTATAATAATTATATTGTCTATCTATATATATATAATTCTCTTCTGGGAGCCGTTAGAAAACAAGCTGCAAGCGCCTCCTTGCAGTCCCCTCTCTTTCTCTCTATCACTATCGCTACCACCCCCACCCCCACATTGTCTGGTGAGCTGTGGTCACGCTGTTTACATTTTACAATCATAGAGACGGGTTTGGTGACGGCTGTTAGGGGCAGATAATTTAGTTTGAAACTTTTTAAACTTAGAGGAGGTAAATAAGAGGAGGCTGCTTTCACGTGGGGGGGGGGGGAAGGGGGGTTAAGTGTTTTTAAGCAAATATTTTTAGTGGCAGCATTGGTACTGTCGAATTCACAAATTATAAATTACTGAAAGTAGGAAAAAAAACCCAACTAAATAGCGGCGTATGATACGCAGCGGGTCGGCTCGTACAATATACAGCGTCAGTTCGCATTTTTTTTTTTTTTTTTTTTTTTTTTTTTTTTTTATTAATTATTTTATTTTATTTTTAAAACTCATGAAATTATTAGTCTGCAACACTCAGTAATGAACCATATAATAATAAATATAAATGATAAACATTCGCTATTCTATTAGAATATTTAGTTACATCGTTTTTCAATGTACTTCATTGTTTTCTAAAACATTGCTGTGCTTGGATCATATTTATCGGGGCACGGGTTTACATACACTACGACGTAGCACGCCATTATGCGTGCTATATGAAAGCCTAGAGTGTACGTTAATAACTCACCGTAATATCACCGTTAATTACTCACCAACTAAGTGTCGGGGACGGAAAGTGGCGCTCTGGTGAACTCACTTTAAGCTTAGAATTGTATAACAAGTAATAGTCCCTTTTATAGAGGAAGAATGGAAATTATATGGATATGTTATGTAAGAAGACTGAAAAAAATGTACATTTTTAATATAATGCCATAACATTTCTTTTAAGTTTTGAAAAAAAAAGTCTGAGTTGCCTCATGCATAGTAAATATTTTATAATTTTAAATGCTTTAATGGTGAAATATGTATACCACTTGTAATTACATTAGCACCAACAGTGTAATCAATAGTTTACTAAACCTACAAATTAATAAAAATTGGAGGAAATATCATACATTTACGTTTAGTTTTTTAAAGTTTAAATCTGTGGAATGTTAATTTATGGTCTGCTATAAAATTCGTTTCAAAACATAGGGTCGAAAAAAGTTACCAACTTTACCAAAACAAAAAATTATCCACACTATTGGTGATTAAACATCTAAATTTGGAAAGCTAAGTGATTGATAGGGGCAATAGAGTTTAGTTACAAAAATAACTTCTACCTCAACACCCAGTTATTTCCATTGATTGAGATAACCTAATGTGCAAGGAGTTATTGTTCTTGTGTACTAAGTGATGGGAAAGGGGAGGCTATGCTAGTAAAACAGATGGACAAGTGAGTAGTAGGCACTTATTTACAAGCTTGTCTTAACAACACATTTTCTGTACAGGATCAACAACCAAACAGCTAAAGTCAATAACTCACACCAATCCATTAAAAACTTTTATAACAAAATTAAACTGATCCATGAATAATTTATATATCATCCCAATTTTTATAAAACCCACCTTAAAATTCTAGGAGTTAAAAAAAAAAATTAACTGAAAATTTAACGAGATTTACCAGGGACTAATCAGTTAACTGTTTGTTTTTTTGACATGGACATGACCATCAGTTGATGATAAATATCGTAAGAAAAACGGTCTGCTGGCAATGAGACAATGTGTACAACGACAACCAGTTTGTGCACTACGACTGACTAAAGTGATCGGCACATATCTTAATTAGCATAATTTTTTTTTATAAATACATTAAGATGTTTATTACAAGAACAGTACAAATGAAGAGAACCATATTGAAGTCAACAACCTGACTATACATATCTCAGTTTTCTCCTGAACATGATGATAAACACATTTTTACAAGTTTGTGATTAAGTTCAAAATGAAAAGGAAAAAAAAAATTATATATATATAATAGAACTAAGCAGATTCAGTTGTTTCTGTGGTGCCATTCGAGGATTCATTTGAGTCTGTCTTTGCCTTTTTCTTCGGACTTTCATCTTCTGCATCTTCACTTTCTTTTTCATCTACAGATCGCTTTTCTGCTGTTGTTTCTTCTGTTTTTGATTCTGTCTCTTCTGAGCTAGCATTTTCATCTGTATTTTCTCCTGTTTTTGAGTTTTCTTCTGTTTGTTCTTCTGCTTCAGCATCAGCCTGATCAGCTTTGCCTTTCACATCTTCTTTTTTTTTTTATTTATTTAATTTTTTTCATAAATAGTATCTTTTTTTTTTTTTTTTTTTTTTTTTTTTTTAAATATTTTTATTTTCAAATAGAAATCATTACATCAACATATACAAATGTGTGTGTGCTTGACATGGTGTGTATTTAACATAGTTCAAACATTAATAAAAATTGTCATTACATGAACAAAATGGTGAACATTATTTAAAAAAAGGATCAACAATTCAAATGAAGATAACCAGAATTAAAGAAATACAAACATGGTTTTTTTTTCCATAATAGTCTTAAGTGTTTTTACAGTTTTGTTGAGAATTTTTTGTAATAGATACAGCGTGAGGAATTAATAGAAAATATTAACAATATGTAAATAAAAGGTAGAAAGCGATAAACAGATGCATAGTAGATTCTAATTGGATACCAAATGGGTTGAGGGTGGTGTTATCTTTTTTTCTTTTTTTGGAAAGAAGATTATTCCCCTTTAGGCCAAACCTAGCGGAGGCGGCAAGCCGTGTTTTACTTACTACGTCATGAAAAGACATGTGACACTGCAGTGGGGAGAGAAGTGCAACTGTTGTTCGAGGCTGTATTTTGACACGTTCTATTTTGAAGCAAAGTATAAGAGGAACAGTTCAAGGCCAGTTTTGACACGTCTTAGATATGGCGCTATATGTGGGTCTGCTATAGAACTAGCAGAAACAAAATTGCAGATCAAGGTCAAATTTGACATACTTTAGGCCTAGTAGGGCAGTGGTCTCAAACCAAGGCCATATTTGACACTTTTTGATGAATTTTAAATGAGGGCAAAGACTATACCGGTGCTGTGGGAAAAAGAAGACCTGAAAATATCTGTCCATAATGTCACCTAAACATAATTATTTTAATAGTGCATTTTATATTGTCTGCTGTCCGTCGAAATTTTATGTGTATTGACTGAGTCTTGATCTAAGTCTCGATTTAAAGATTTCATTGACAGCTTTGTCTGTATATTTAAATCCGTCATACTTAATCTTATTTCGTAAATACCAGACCAGCGATCTAAAGACGGCCGTCGCAATCAGTTTGTCGTCGTCATATGTTGCGTCTCCAGTCTTGTTGATTTCGTTAAATGTAATAGCTTTGTTTACAGTGATTGTTTGCTTTGTTTTCAAAATGGTCATTAGTGTTTGTTTTGCTAATCGAATTGTACTGCATTCTAAAAAAATGTGTTTTTCTGTCTCGTGTATGTTTTGTTTGCAGGTCTGGCATGTAATTTTAAAGTTGTTGCGTGGGATTGGGGTTGTGTTAAATATTAACCTATAGCTAATCTCTCTTTCTTTGGGTGTTATTTGCTTATTATGTAAGTTTCTGAAGGTGTCGCTTATATCTATTGTATTGTACTCTCTAGCCCATTTAATCCTATGGTATAGAGGGGTTGCTTGTTTCTCGACTAGGATGTCGTATATTTTTTTGGACTTTTCTCCAATGATGTTGTTGTTTCCTTTAGATATTTTTAATATTTCTCTGTAGAAGTTCCCTATATCATTCCCTCCATAATGTGGTGTTGTGATATTAACTTTGAGGATATTCTTTATTTTAAGCCCTATATAGTATTGAGCCAATGGGTGGTTGTGTGGCTCTATCCTAATTCTGTCTAAGTGTTTTAACCTAAAGGCATTGATTTTTGTATGTATATCGTGTAGCCCTATGCCTCCATTTAGCTTGCTTTGTATCAAAGTTTTGTTGCTAATGTTTCTAATTGTGTTTTTAAAGATGAATTCCCTAATTTGCTTGTTCGTTGTTTTAATGAATCTGTTAGGTATCACAGAATTTGTTGCTATGAATATTATTTTAGGTATGACATATCTGTTCACTAAGGCGGCTCTGGCGAAGATCGTTGTGTTAATATTTTTGTATTTTTTAAGGCATGATTGGATTTTTTCGGTCACCTTTAGCCAGGTAGCATTGTCTTTAATCTTGTTGTCGCCTGTATAGGTTATTCCGTAAATTTTTAGTTTGTCCACCACTGTGATGTCTGTATTGTAGTCGTCTTTGTCTACCCATTGTCCTGCCCCCATAACCTTCGATTTGTCCGTGTTGATTTTTCCGCCACTGGCTTTACCAAAGTCAATAAATCTTTCAATTACTGTCTTTATGGCTTTCTCAGATTGAAGTAGAAAAGTCGTGTCATCGGCGTAGGCCAATATCTTTTTATCAGCCATGTTTGGTAGTTTTAGTCCTTTTATAGTGATGTCCTGTCTAAGATTCTCTAAGAGGGGTTCTAAACTAAGGATGTATAAAATAGGGGACAGTGGACAACCTTGTCTAACTGATTTTTGGATGTGTATGGCAGTAGAAATGTTATTGTTTATAAGTAAGTGGCTGTGTGCTTTGTTATAGAGTGTTTTTATCCACATGCTGAAGTAATTGCCTAGATTGTAGGCTTCTATTGTTTTAAATAGCCATGTATGTGCTACCCTATCAAATGCTTTCTGTTGGTCTATACTAAGTAACGCTAGCTTGGAGTTTTTTTGTTTGCTGTAATGTAGGATGTCTCGTATTAAGTGTGTGTGGTTCTGTATGTTTCTCCCCTGTACGCTACACTGCTGGTCTGAGTTAATTAGTTTGGGTATGACAGTTTCCAGCTTGCTTACCAAGATTTTGGTCAGTATCTTATAGTCACTACAGTTCGCATAATTTGTAAAATGTTGCTCTTTTACTGATAGCGATCAGTCTAAATTGTTTTAGGTTCCTATTAAATAAATTGGGTGGGTAGTTAATTTTTATTGTTTTATTTTAAATTACGTGTCAGCTTTAACTTGTGTTTTTCTATCACAACCAAAAAAAGGGGGGGGGGGGTATAATAAATAGGTACTGTTTTTGTTATTGTTTAAGGAAATAATGATCGATGTTGTATATTATGTTCTACTTGCATTTCTTTATGTATTCGTTTGTTTAGAATTCAATTTAATTTTAAGTTGTTTCCCTTGATTAAATTTTTTTTTAATTATTTTTCTTTTGAGCAACTCATGGGAGATAATAATATGATGCCATAAACGTTATAGATCTCCATGTCCCCATCTTTACTCATGTCTAGGGAGGGATACTCTCCAGCTTCATCAACATTTCCTAAATAGCTCATTATGTTCACATCACACAAATTAAACACACACACATACGCACCCACGTGCACACACACGCACGCACACATGTGCACACACACGTTCACACACACACGTTCACACACACACACTCACGCACACACGTTCACGCACACGTAACTGATGTTGGGGGGAGGGGACTTCACCCTGTTTCTACAGTACACGGAGACACCCCCCCCCCCCCCACAGACACCACTACGATGAACAACAGCTTTGTAACAATGATGAACTACCGTCATCAGCTAGTTGTGATTATGTCATCTGCTAGTTGTGATTATGTCATCAGCTAGATGTGATTATGTCATCAGCTAGTTGTGATTATGTCATCAGCTAGTTGTGATTATGTCATCTGCTAGTTGTGAATATGTGATAGGCACATAAGCTGATAATGTCATCTGCTAGTTGTGATAACACATAAGCTGATAATGTCATCCTCTAGTTTTATAGTCATACAATGTCATCCGCTAGCTGCAATAGGCAAGCAAATAAGCTGATAATTCTATGTGTCTGGCTTTGACATTCTTTGACCCAAACAACTTTTATAAAAATTCTGACAATGATCTGCCGACTGGGCTCCGAACCCACCCACCCACATTTTTGGTCTGTTCTGTGCCCAGATATGTGACATTTCACAAACACCCGACATTTTATTTCATGAATCAATGACAATTTGTTTCAAATTGTTAACACTTTATTGCACAAATTTCATAATTTCTAGGAGTATTGGATATACTTTCTAACTAAAAGAAATTTAGGATTTTCAATGTTAAATATAATATTCCGCAGTTCAGCACCCTCTCACAATGTAACATTCAACAACTCTAAACAGGAGGAATGTATCAAAAATAAGAATAAAGAAAATAGTGCTATATAACTAATGTCCAAAACATCCAAATAAAATGTAATAAGAGGATTAGTTACACAAGAATTTCATTGTATAATATCATATCATATTATATATACATATATATATATATATATATATATATATATATATATATATATATATATAAATATATATATATATATATATATATAGTTACAGGACCCAAATTAGCAAGGATCTTATAATTAAATGTGAAAATCTTTTCAGAAAAGTGGGTTATTTTAGTTTTGAGATAGATCTATGTGATATATTGTTCATTTGATATGTGGCATTTAGTTTCACTGATGTCCCACTTTGTTACATAATATTTGACTTTTTATTTCACAGATATATGACATTATGTTTTATTGATATGTGGCATTTAGATTCTCTGATGTGACACTTTGTGACAAAATATTTGACTTTTTTCTTTTTCACAGATATGTGACATCTACAGCAGTGCTTATGTCAGAAGGCATCAAAGTTATCATCTGCCTCCTTATCATGGCTTTCACTGCAAGGAAGTTAGTATCTCAGCTCCTATGTGGCAAAATAAAAATAATTTTTCAAAATCACTTTTTTTTTTACTTTAGTAATTCAAACACATGAAAAGTAATAAGATTGTAATGTATAAAAATTTCTAAATTTTAGGACACTGTTAAGTCAGCTATCCAGTATTATGAATACTCGTGATGTCATCAAATCCTGTGTACCTGCCATTTTGTACACAATACAAAACAATTTACAGTTTGTTGCAATGAGTTATTTAGATGCTGCTACTTTTCAAGTTAGTAGATTCTACATTGTATACCACATTTTCTTCTCTAAAAATGTCTTTCTTATTTATTAATCAGTATTTCATTTGTTTTCTAAGTATAGATCTAGAATCTAGATCTTGTGTAAATTGTTCAGTTACTCAACCTACCTCCCCTTCCATCAATGGACACCAGCGAGAAAAGTCTCAAAGGTATTTGAGAGGTGTATAAATTCATTTTAAAATCTTGCACGGCGTAGTTACAATTAATATGGTTATAAAATCCTGTCTGTCTGGTTTTTTCGGACTTTACTAAAGATTGGATGTATTTGATGATTTTAATATTTTCGGTAACTAAATAAAAATTTAAAAAAAAGCAAAAACAATTTGGTTTTCACGTGTAATGGCGACATAAACAATGGGTGCCATAAATTTTATTGTACACATTGTAAGCTAAAAATAGAAAAAATATGTCATGGTGTTTAAATTTGCATAGTTATTTAAAAACTTGATCTGCAAAGTTTTGTAAACAAAATAACTATAAAGTGGGGCTGTCAGAAATCGATCACGGAGTTCCTTTACAGCCAATCAATGTTTGTCTTACGAAAGTGAAACATCGGGTTATAACTTAGGCTTGATGAAAATAAATAGAAATGTAGCCTTAAACTAAACAAATTATTTTCAAGTTCTCTGGATCTGCAACTTGTATAGCATTGATTCTAAAAATATTACATTTCTGAATTAATTTTAGGCTTAAGTTTTTAATAAAATTTTATCTTTTATTAGTTTTATGGTCCTAAATCTAAAAAAGCAAATTTTTATTCCATGTCAACAACATTACGGAAGGAATCTCGCCAACTCGCTGGTGTCCATTAGCTCATCTTCACAAAAGAAAAGTAGTCCTCTAGTCTACCCTTAAGTGTGTGACATTATTTAAGGATGATGTTAGTTATGCCTAAATATTTCCAAGTATTGGTACCATAAGAGTCTTATTAAGACACTACATACATCCAAGAATTTACCTACAAGCAGTACACATTTAGTAAAGTAGTGCTAATCACAATGAAATAAGAAACAGATGTTTAATTTAGTTAGAGTTAGATCTACCAGAGTACTCAACATCTTCAGCTTTACAAATTACAAATATAAAGCTACCATATTTTGATTAGAATTAAATTTTTAGTATTTTAAACTATATTTTTCATTGGATCTAGAATCTATATTGTACTTGTTACATGTGTTACCCATGTGTGTGTTGGTGAATGTAATTTGGATCTGCTTGTCCACCACTTACACCAGGTGACCTACCAGTTGAAGATACTGACCACTGCCGTCTTCTCAGTTTGTTTCCTCAGACGTCAGCTCGATGTCATACACTGGTCAGCGTTGATTTTATTGACAGCTGGAGTAGCCATTGTCCAAGTGAGTGACCATTCATTATGTTGGTAATAAAACATGGATTGAATCTTTAATTTTTTAGCCCAGTCATTCTCAGTTCTATGTATGTGATTTTTTTCAATATACCTTATAAAACATTATACAATAGTTTAACACATTTATGCTATGAGAACTGATACTAATTTCCTCACCAGAAACATATTTATCAAACAATTCTTTGAGGTTTCTTTTGTTTAGCTTTCAGTTAAACATTTTAAATTTTGTGAATATTATTTTTTTTTAACTCTTTTTATACATTTAACAAAACAATAAGGACCAAATATTGGCTGTTATTAAATATTAAGGAATAACTTTTATAACTTGTTTGAGACAGCTAATCAGCTGCTCAAAATATAATTAATTCAGTGTTAATGAATGAAAGATGTACTATGTCCTTATGTGATGTCCTGCATTATTGTAGCAATCACTGTATGTTTATGTGATGTCCTATAGCAGTCGCAAGCTCTGCTTGTTTTGTGTAATGTTCTGTAGCAGGTACAAGTTCTGTATGTTTATGTGATGTTCTATAGCAGATACAAGTTCAGTATGTATATGTGATGTTCTATAGCAGGTACAAGTTCAGTATGTTTATGTGATGTTCTATAGCAGATACAAGTTCAGTATGTATATGTGATGTTCTATAGCAGATACAAGTTCAGTATGTTTAAGTGATGTTCTAAAGCAGGTACAAGTTCAGTATGTTTATGTGATGTTCTAAAGCAGATACAAGTTCAGTATGTTTATGTGATGTTCTATAGCAGATACAAGTTCAGTATGTTTATGTGATGTTCTATAGCAGGTACAAGTTCTGTATGTTTATGTGATGTTCTCCAGTACTAATGTGATTCCCCCACCCCTAGTTCCCCAGATCCATTGACTGCCCTAACAGTGACGGTCAGTGTGAGAGTGGCCGAGGGGAGGTGAAGAATGTTCTGGTTGGTGGCGCCTCTGTGTTGGTCATGTGTGTCAGTTCTGGATTTGCTGGGGTCTACACGGAGAAGATTCTCAAGTCCACCAGTGGTGCTGAGGGCATGTGGGCCAAGAATGTTCAGCTAGGTGAGACTGGTGGGGGGTCAGAGGTGGTAATTAATTAGCTAGGTGAGACAGTAGTGAGACTGGTGGGGGTCAGAGGTGGTAATTAGCTAGGTGAGACAGTAGTGAGACTGGTTAAGGGGGGGGGGTCAGAGGTGGTAATTAGCTAGGTGAGACAGTAGTGAGACTGGTGGGGGTCAGAGGTGGTAATTAGCTAGGTGAGATAGTAGTGAGATTGGGGGGGGTCAGAGTTGGTAATTAGCTAGGTGAGATAGTAGTGAGACTGGTGGGGGTCAGAGGTGGTTATTAGCTAGGTGAGATAGTAGTGAGACTGGTGGGAGTCAGAGGTGGTAATTAGCTAGGTGAGATAGTAGTGAGACTGGTGGGGGTCAGAGGTGGTTATTAGCTAGGTGAGATAGTAGTGAGACTGGTGGGGGTCAGAGGTGGTAATTAATTAGCTAGGTGAGACAGTAGTGAGTCAAGTGGGGGGGAGGGGGTCGAAGGTGGTAATTAATTAGCTAGGTGAGGCAGAAGTAGGACTGGTCAGGGGGTCAGATGAGGCAGTCAGCTAGGTGAGGCAATACTGAAAAAAAAGGAGAGCCAAATAAGTGAGACAATTGTAAGTAAAGGTAATCTTTCATACCTGTTAGTTCATGTGGCACATGAGGTAGAGTTTCTGAGGCATCATGAGGTAGTGTGGTCAGCACTATGCCCAGCCACATTTGCTCTCCCCTATGTGAGTCGGGTTTGACAAGAGCTGGGTTAGGTCATAAGGCTCAAGCTTGAGATCCGAACTAGAGACTTTCAGGTTACTAGTCATGCACTCTACCACCCAACCCCACCGCCTCATGAGACAAAGGCAGGAGGGTGAGAAAAAAATACTTCTTGGTACTACTTGAAATAAATGAGAAAGTGGAAAAATAGTCTCAGCTCAAGAACTAGTTTAACCAATTCTTTTATTTCAGCATTTATCAGCACCGTGTTTAGTTTCTTTTATGTGTACATCAATGATGGGAAGGCTGTGATGTTGTCAGGTTTCTTTCAAGGCTATGATTCAATCACATGGATTGTTATAGTGCAGCAGGTTTGATTAGGATTAAAGAAAAAATTGTAAACGTTTGCTATAGGCTAAGCATATGTGGCATTAATACTATATAAGAAGAGCTCATTTTATCAAAAGTTTAAGAATGTACAGCCAACTTTTTTTATTTCAATTTTAGCTACAATTAAACATAATATCAAACAATTGTAACTAAAACATTAGGATTTCTTTTCATTGGTTAAAAATAACCTTAATTTTTAAAGACTTTAAGAATTATAAATGGTAATCATTCTGCATTATGTTTTACCATATTTGCTGTCATTTTGCAGCTCTCATTTAATTTTTAAAATTGTCTGATTGTGACATGCTCAATGTAATATCCTTTGAAGTGGGAAAGTAAATCCAATATTCCTAGAAATACTCTTATTTTATTATAATCAAAAAGTTCACAAGTAATAAAACAAATTTTCAACTATTTTTCAGGCTGTGTTAGGTCTTGTGATCTCACTTGTGATGAAATTTGCTGATAATATTCTCAAAGGTTTTGCTTCATCCATAGCCATCTTGATAACTACTGTAGTTTCCTCCCTTCTTCTACATGATCTGCAGTTAACATGGTAGGTAACCCATGCAACCCTGAATGAATTATGAGAGTTGTGGGTGCTGATTTAAACAGAATTTTAAAAAGTTGTTGACATTGGACTTCAAATATTCTATGAATTATGTACATTTAATATTTCATAAAAAACATATATATAATTTTAAAATAATTTTAAATTTTATTTTTCTGTAGTTCTTTCCTGATTGGTGCAACTGTTGTGATGGGGTCAGCTCTACTTTACAGCGTTGATAGAAGTGTAGATCACATGTCTTCAGAAACTATCATTTGATCTAATTATTACAATAACTCTACTCATGTAGATCACTTGTCTTCAGAGACTAGCATTTGATCTAAAGATTACAATAACCCAACTCATGTGAATCACTTGTCTTCAGAAACTTTCATTTGATCTAATGATTACAATAACTCTTCTCATGTAGATCACTTGTCTACAGAAACTTTCATCTGATCTAAAGATTACAATAACTCTTCTCATGTAGATCACTTGTCTTAGTGGCGGCAGTAGTACAGAAGAAAGTACTTTAAAACAAAGTTGAAAGTGGTTTCACAGTTCTCAACCCAACTCTGCATACAGAAAAGACTAGAAAATTGGAACGGAGTTTTTTTTTTAAAAACTGCCCTCTGAATCTTATGAAGTTAGAACCAAAATTCACTAGTACTGGTGTCCCTGCATTATATGATAACACCTCTGTAATATACGATAACACAAAGAACAATAACACAAAGAACAATAACTCAAAGAACGTTTGTAAATCTAGGATGTGGAAGCTATAGCCATGTGTAGGCTTGCCAAAATTTTGTTGCTGAAAGAAAGGGCAGCTAATTGCTTTTTATGGTTGACCATTGTTGTTGCCCTTGATAAGTTGTTGTTTAAACTGCAGCTATTGTGTGCTATTAGTAATTGATAATATTATTTTTGAGTTAATTTGGTGTATAAAGTAATTTTTCTGTGAATAATCTCCTTGAGGTAAATCCACTAAAAATGTATACTGTTCAACAACCCCCATCAAGGAACAAAACCACAATATATAGTTTTTTGGACTTTCTACATTTAAAAGTTTTTCCCCAACATAATAAAACCTACAAATAGAATTAGAATATTTATATATTTACATCAGAATTTATACTGTATAAATGTGAATTTTAATTAATGGTAGATATTTGTTTGACAGCTTTATTCAAAGATTAAACAAGTTTAAATATTTTTGCTGAATCATGTGTATAAAGTATGGGTTGTTTCCCTTTTCTAGTCAATTTTAAACTATTTTAAGACATTAGACCAAAGATGTATTTCTTTGCATAAGTTGTGTGTAAGAAAAGTTGTAGAAAAGATACTTTTAAAATTGTATAATTCCTCTCTGAATCTCAGGTTTGTTGCATTACTAATTTTTTTTTTTAAATATTTTATGCATTTTATTTTAAATGATTGTCTCATTTTTAATAGAAAAAAAAATTAGTTTTAAACATTGGGTAATGGCATTTACACTCTTTGGTTGAGGTGTTGTTATGACTTGATATTTGATGATGGTCAAGCTTGCTTCATTGTTTCTGTATTTAAAAAGTATTTGGTGTTTAGGCTATGGTGTGCCTTGTCCAGCATTGTGTGAAACTGTTGTAAAAACAGTAGTGAAAGTGTTCTGTAAAACTGCTGAATGGTGTGGATAATTGTATGTGCTGAGAGATGTATTTTAATGTACATAACAAATAGTATATTACAAATGTGATTTTAACACGAAGAATCCAAGCATTTATATTTGTCAAAACATGTTTGCCTTTTGTTTGAGCGATGTCAAAATAAAAGCTCTACAACAATGACAATATTTTAAAATTTAGCTGTTCTGGCTCGTTGCTTTATCTACTTTGTCTCAAAGCACTCTTACAGATGTCATTTAGCATAGTTACGGATGTCATATAGCACTGTTAAAGATGTCATATAGCACTGTTAAAGATGTCATATAGCACTGTTAGTGTTACAGATGTCATAATGCATGGTTATAGATGTCATAATGCATGGTTATAGATGTCATAATGCATGGTTATAGATGTCATATGTCATAAAGCACTGTTATGGATGTCATATAGCTTTGTTACACATCATATTGCACAGTTATAGATGTCATAAAGCAGTTACACGTGTCATATAGCACAGTTACACGTGTCATATAGCACAGTTACACATGTCATAAAGCACTGTTACAGGGGATTTGAAAGTTTAAAACCTGACGGACAAACACATAGTAACTGTTTTCTGAAGTCTGTAAGAAATAGAATTTAAAGAAAAGGCTTTGTATGAAGCTTTCATATTATCAATTTAATTAAGGTGTAACTTCTGCAAACCAGGTAACAGCTGAACTGGGAGACTATTATCTATTGACCTTGAGGTCTCGAGTTGAGATCCAGAGTTGGGTCTCCAGGACTTACCAGTCCATACAGCTTTAATAAATACCTGACTCCAAGTTAGTGAAACTAAAGGCGGCTGGACATAAAACCGACCGGCTGAGTTCACAGAAACTAATTAACTATTTCAGCTGTCAGCTCCCAAAGTGTAACCTTAGTTTTTTTTTAAGTAACTGTATGTTCCAAACACGTAGGCTTATTAACAGATTCCTGACTCCATGTACCAAACACACAGACCTACAAAGATTGTCGTCCCATGTACCAATACGTTCAACACATTTGAAACACTTTTGACTGCAAACATAACAGGGTCATTTATTTTTGCCTCGTACAAAAATATATAAAAAATAACAGGAAAACAAAAATAACATTGGATGGTGAGGTCATTCACATCAGAACAGTAACAATTGTGTACAACAGTAACGTGTGGGTGTACGCTAAACACTCTATATCAAAATGTTAAATTGTCTTTTACCAAGGTCCTTTTAAAATAAAATTTTGTCAAAGGAATTTTTGTTCCTTTTTCCCTTTCAATAAGTTGCGGAAATGAGTTAAACATCTCACTATATAGCTATAGCGTCATCTGCCCGCACTATATAGCTCCGATGATGCTATAGCTGGGGCCAACAACCCATCTAGGAGAGCCAACTCCAAAATCAAACAACTGCTGCCTTGTAGTTTTTTCTTGGTTGGACAAAGGCTATGGAAGCAAATCCAGAAAGAAAAGCAGGCTGAAATCGAAGTCAATGGCTTATATGCCGCATAAAAAGTTGACCCGTAATACATAATTGTGTTGGAGGAAATCCCTTCCATTCCAACACTAGAATTAAAAACGAGGAAGAAGAAAAAGAATGGCAGACACCAGACCTGTTATAACTTTATCTGGACGTCCATGAACTGTGAAACCCGCTCCTCTGGTTCCTCGTATATCAAGTCTCGCTCGTATTTCAAAGCAAAACATTGACCACTCGACGTCTCGTGGCTCAAAAATCTCGTGTCAGGGTACTCGTATGTCGAGGTACCACTGTATACATACTCCAAACATGACGTAATTTTAAAATTAGCCGATTTTCACTCGAGCCTCAACTCACAGCACCCACAACTTCCATATGAGTCGACATTACATGTTAACCCCCCCCCCCCCCCCCCCCCCTCACAGACCATCTATCCCACCGTCCAACCCCTTCTTAATTATCAGGATTATTTTAAAAAGTTATTTTTTTTAATTAATTCATTCTTTTGTAGAACTTCGTCACCTCAGAACTCCTTCCTCCTCCTCCAACCCCTCCCAGATACGTGACGTCATGTATGGACGCTCGCGCGGCCTGGCACGGCATGGTCAAGTATCGGGTTTGTTTATAGGCCACGTGATGGGTATCTGTTCCTTGCAGTTAGAAGGAAGGGCCTACGTGAGCTCAACATTGATCAGGGGCAGGCAACAGATGGAGGGGGGGGGGGTCATATCACCTCCTTGCTGCCCCTTCTCCTGGCGATGGACGCGTAGTCACGTGACGTCCTCATGGAGGAGGTCCGCGGACGGTAGTACTCGTCCTCGAAAAAATCCTCACTGTCCGTGTCGGGGTCTGTCGTGCTGGTCAGACGGAAGGCGCGAGAGGGCGGGTCCAGCAGTCTCTCGGCGTGGCTGGACATGAAGGTTCGGGTCTGGGCGGGCGAGCTGGGCACGGAGCACGTGGTGAAGGAGCTGGTCACGTGACCGTGGTCCGTGGAGCTGATTGGTTGGGGGGTGGTGGGCTGTAAGGACTGGATCGAGTCCCGGATGTCGAAAAACTGGCGCTTGAGCAGGATGTCGTGTTGTCGTAGGAGAATCTGGTGGGAGAGGAACGTGATCATATGGGTTACTGCTAGCTAGAGAAACGTGATCATGTATAGGTTACTGCTAGCTAGAGGAACGTGATCATATAGGTTACTGTTAGCTTGAGGAACGTGATCATAGGTTACTGCTAGATAGAGGAACGTGATCATATTTAGGCTACTGCTAGCTAGAGGAACGTGATCATATTTAGGCTACTGCTAGCTAGAGGAACGTGATCATATTTAGGCTACTGCTAGCTAGAGGAACGTGATCATAGAGGTGACTGCTAGCTAGAGGAACGTGATCATATAGGTTACTGCGAGCTAGAGGAACGTGATCATATTTAGGCTACTGCTAGCTAGAGGAACGTGATCATATAGGTTACTGCTAGCTAGAGGAACGTGATCATATTTAGGCTACTGCTAGCTAGAGGAACGTGATCATATAGGTTACTGCTAGCTAGAGGAACGTGATCATATAGGTTACTGCTAGCTAGAGGAACGTGATCATATAGGTTACTGCTAGCTAGAGGAACGTGATCATATAGGTTACTGCTAGGTAGAGGAACGTGATCATACAGGTTACTGCTAGCTATAGGAACGTGATCATATGGGTTACTGCTAGCTAGAGGAACGTGATCATATAGGTTACTGCTAGCTAGAGGAACGTGATCATATAGGTTACTGCTAGCTAGAGGAACGTGATCATATAGGTTACTGCTAGCTAGAGGAACGTGATCATATAGGTTACTGCTAGCTAGAGGAACGTGATCATATAGGTTACTGCTAGCTAGAGGAACGTGATCATATAGGTTACTGCTAGCTAGAGGAACGTGAACATATTTAGGCTACTGCTAGCTAGAGGAACGTGATCATATAGGTTACTGCTAGCTAGAGGAACGTGATCATATATAGGTTACTGCTAGTTAGAGGAACGTGATCATATAGGTTACTGCTAGCTAGAGGAACGTGATCATATTTAGGCTACTGCTAGCTAGAGGAACGTGATCATATAGGTTACTGCTAGCTAGAGGAACGTGATCATATATAGGTTACTGCTAGCTAGAGGAACGTGATCATATTTAGGATACTACTGGCTAGAGAAACGTGATCATATAGGTTACTGCTAGCTAGAGGAACGTGATCATATAGGTTACTGTTAGCTAGAGGAACGTGATCATATTGGTTACTGCTAGCTAGAGCGATGTGATCATATAGGTCACTGCTAGCTAGAGGAACGTGATCATATAGGTTACTGCTAGCTAGAGAAATGTGTTCATATAGGTCACTGCTAGCTAGAGGAACGTGATCATATAGGTTACTGCTAGCTATAAAAACGTGATCATATATAGGTTACTGCTAGCTTGAGAAACGTGATCATATATAGGCTACTGCTAGCTAGAGGAACGTGATCATATACAGTGTTTCTTCCAGACTTTTTTCTCCGGGGGGGCACTAGAAAACTTCGGGGGGCGGTAAACTTTCTTCGGGGGGGCGGACACTGTTAAAAGTATATATTTTCTATATAAATTATATAAATTTCATTTCGTTCGGGGGGGGGGGGCGGTAAAAAATTTTCGGGGGGGCCCCGGAGAGATGCCTGGAAGAAACTCTGATCATATATAGGCTAATGCTAGCTAGTGGAACGTGATCATATATAGGCTACTGCTAGCTATAAAAACGTGATCATATATAGGCTACTGCTAGCTATAAAAACGTGATCATATATAGGCTACTGCTAGCTAGTGGAACGTGATCATATATAGGCTACTGCTAGCTATAAAAACGTGATCATATATAGGCTACTGCTAGCTATAAAACGTGATCATATATAGGCTACTGCTAGCCAGTGTTTCTTCCAGACTTTTTTCTCCGGGGGGGGGGGGGCACTTGAAATTTTCGGGGGGGGGGGGGCGGTAGACTTTCTTCGGGGGGGATAACACTGTTATCGTTCGGGGGGGGGGGGGGGTGGCGGTAAAAAAAATTTTTAGAAGAAACTCTGCTGCAAGCTAGAGCAAAGTGATCATATAGATTACTGCTAGCTAGAAGAATGTGATCAAGTATATACTAATTCTAGCTAGAAGAATGTGATCAACTTTATACAACGCCATAAATCTACAGCCATTTATAAGAAGAAAGGTCCTACAGTCACATTGAGACCTTGCTGCAGATAATTGCCTTAGACAGGTACGTAGGGGGGGGGGGGAGGGAGGTGGGGCCTTTTTTTTTAAACTTGACTTGTCAAGTTACTTGATGTGTGGCAAATATGGCATGACAGATGACGTGTCTGACAAATATGCCACGTGACAAATGGCGAGGAATAAATTGGTCCAATCATCGCATTCTTAGTGAACGTGCACAAATACATCAAAACTGGCGAAATAGTGTGTGTGTGTGTATGTGCGTAATTGTGTGTGTCGTATGCATTGTTTATGTGTGTATAGCTTGTGAATTTGTACAGTACCTGTATGCAGTGTTTCTCCCATACTTTTTTCTCCAGGGGGGGGGGGGGGGGACACTTGGAATTTTCGGGGGGAGCAGACTAAAATTTTTTGGGGGGCGGACACTGTTAAAAGTATATATTTTCTATATAAATTCCATTTCGTTCGGGGGGGGGGGGGGGGGGCGGGGGGGCGATAGACTTACTTCGGAGGGGGGGAGCTGCTCCCCCTAAGAGATGCCTGGAAGAAACTCTGCCTGTATGTGTTGTATGTGTGCGGTGTAGGGAGTGTATTGCATGTGTGTTGTATGTGTGTACGTGTTCATGTGTGTTCATGTGTGTTGCATATGTGTTGTATGTGTGTACGTGTTCATGTGTGTCAGAACAACTGTCCTATTTTAAGAACGCACCAGCTCCTGTTTGACCCACATGACGGCCGTCATCAAGTCGTCCATCCGACCACCAATTGTTTCCTGCGTGTTCAACGCTCCGGCACACACGCTCACCTTCCGGTGTCTGGCGGTTCTAGGTGAGCCGAGGGCGGCCTTCTCAAATCTGGCACCAAAAGACAGGTATTTTATTTTTGTTTGTTTTTTTAAGTCAAATTTCAAATAAATGAAACAGGCTGATTTCAAACTGAAATTAACCTGAACACAAGAATAAGATATTTTTTTTTTGAAGAATTTAGTTAAGGTTATTCATAGGAGTTAGTTTGATTGTATAATATTGGTATGGGGGATTACTCCTATACAATATTGAGTTCACCCAGCCCTGATGGGTACCTGACTCACGTTAGGGGAAGCAAAGGTGCCTGCCACAAGATACCCTTATATGTCGAGGTCAAGAAATATATGAACTGAGTTTCATCTGGTCCGTAAAGTAAACTTTTTAAATCACATTTACCGTCACCCCCCCCCCCCCCCCCCCCCCCCCCACCATCTATTTACATATACACTCACAAAACAAGATGGTGCCAATTTGACTATTGTCGAAACATGCCTACTAGTGTTTAAATAAACAAATTCAAACCTTTTTGGAAGTTTGACGATCCCGGGGAGGGAGGAGTGACGTACTGGGATAATCCCACACGTCATAGCCAGGTCATTCATGGTCATCAGGTCATTGAAAACATCAACTTTATGACATCTGTAGATGGTTATATATATATATATATATATATATATATATATATATATATATATATATATATATATATATATATATATATATATATATATATATATATATATATATATATATATATATATATATATATATATATATATATATATATATATATATATATATATATATATATATATATATGAGGAGTCCACTTGCAAAACCTAAGTCATTTTTAACTTATTATGAAGGAATAGACTTTAACTAACTTTATAACTAACCTTATGATTTTTTATTTATTTTGCTGTTAAGCAATATATTTTATATTATATCTTTTTTTTTAATGTGTTTACTTCTTTAATAGCCACTTAATTAAAAAGGCTATAAGAAGAAATCATTTTTGTTTCAAAAAGTGGACTTCGCAGGTTTTGCGAAAGCAGTCCTCATATATAGGCCTATATATATTCGCCCACTCTAACATCAAATGTATCATTTCGACTAATGACAGCCTATTGAGTTTAACTAACCACACGTTCAATGAGTGATAACTGGTAGATTCTATTAAATTATGTATCATCTAAATTCGCTTCAGAATTATTTTTTATAATTTATTCCTTTTACAACATTTTGCAACATTTTTTCTTCTGTTTTCTTGTTCACTTCAGTATTAAAAATTTGATCATCGGTTTGCACATGTACCATACTTATAGACTTTTTCTGTCAAGCATTTTAATTTATTCACAATTTTTGTTTATATGCCTCAGACACATAATATTTGTAGTGTATGTTATCCTTGTCCCAAAGGTCTTCCTCTGTTGCATTACTATGGTCATCATTCGACATCTGAGGGACTGTTGTAGATTTACTGTTGTTATATTGGTAGCTATTTCATTCTACAGATGTGTACATAGTATGCAGAATTTTAGAAAAGTATGAGATCCATTTTTTTTTAAAATAAAGATTAAAAGTCGTGAGGGGGAAAGAGTTGGGTATGAACACCTGGAGGGGGGGGGGGCAGTTTGCCATCTAAACGTACAAAATGATGTACGTTTTAAAAAAAATGGTGGTTATGCAATTTTTCCTGAGATCGGAAGGGTTGGCATGATTTAAGGTTGTGACTGCTGAAATAAGAAAGTTTAGGAACCAAAACATGAAAAAAAAATATATCCTTTCTTCTGATTACCCAAGCGTCTACCCCTACGCCAATACATTTGATTCATTTTTTTTTCTAATATTTTTATTATTATTATAGTTCTTATTTGATTAATTAATTTAAAGCCAAAGGGGTCTAACCAAAATATATATGCATTGGCACAAATATAAAT